CGACACCCTAGGAAACTAGGAGGTGATGATGAGGACCACGTCGCATAGGACGACTGGTGAACCACCACCTTGCCTACAGCGCCGCCATGGCCAGCACAGTAGCACCATGTCACACCATGACGCGACATGGCCACAATACCATGATGACAACCATGCCCAGACGTGCTCCACAAGATGGCATAGCTTGCAAGCCAAGTTAGTTAGGACCTCCCTCAGGCTCATGACCCTTCGGTCGGGAGAATCTTCTTCTTTGTATACGTCCTGGCCCCCGAACTCTATATAAGGGCAGCCAGGTCATCCATCTCTCATTCACCCATTCTTACACCGCAGAAGGGCTCTTGAAGCTTCTATTCAGATAGCCCGTCTCCTAGCTCTAGATCTCCTACATATTCGACCATTCTTGCACCCTCCCATTATAAGAACTTCAGAGCATTCAAGCGAGAAACACGCACTTGATCATCTTTGAGACTGGACGTAGGGCTCCGGCCTAAACCAGTATAAATCCTCGTGTCTTTTGGATGCTACCATCATCAACCTAAAGCAGCACAATAATCGTATAAGTTTAGCGGAATGGTTAAACACATGTTTTTCCAATTATTAGTGCTAGGCTACTTTGATTTTGGGCAAAGGGAGGTGGATTGTCTACGTGGGCTTCAGAGTATTTTTCACCCAAGGGTTAATGGGTACGCGGACATGTCCCAATCCCCACGTACCTGAAGGGTGAAGGATTTTGCCCATTTATGTACCCATGGTTAACATGTTTAGTCCATATTCGAACTCTAATGGAGTAAATACCCGTCGGGTATCGAGTCGTAGGTCCCCATTACCATCTTTAAGGCATGTTTGGGACTGCTCCACGAACTCTGCTCCACAAACTCCATCATGGAGCAGCTCAAAAAAACTTGGAGCTTGTGTAGCACCCCTTTAGGTAATCTCACAACTCCACTTTTTTCTCGAATAGAGTGCGTGGAGCTGAACCTGTTTGGTTAAAAAACATGGAGAAGATTTTTTTTAGCCAACATGGAGCAGCTCCACGTTTTTCAGCTCTGTTCCATGCTTTTTAGTCAAACATGTCCACAGTGAATTTTGTGGAGCAAAGTTCGTATGTTTTTAGCCAAATAGGTCCATGACGAAGTGTGTCGAGAAGAATTTGTGAAACCGTCCCAAGCCCGCCTACAGTCTCGTCACAACACATGTCCGAGAGCCAATCCAGTCCGAGACTCGCAAGTCATAGCCACCTGGTCCAGTGCGTTGCCTGTGCACAAGTTACTGGTGTGCCTGGTGCGCGGGCCACATGCATCCTGCACAGCCAAACCACAAAGAGCCTTTTCCCTATGTGCCATTATGAAAGATGCTCCATTCCTACATGCAACTAAAAAGTTCACACGGACCCTGATGCCATGATGCTAAACTCTTTTGTCCAACACGCCATTCCATCTTCATTATGTTTGGTTTTGACCGTTTGGCAGCTCTTACATGTGGGACCGGGTAGGAAAAATGTCCATGTTGCCCTTTCAGTCATGGGCATATGTTGAGGCTGAGTTGACCGATATTAACCGGCATCTCCCTCAGTCTCTCACTCTCTCTTATCGCTCGACTCCCTCAGTTCCCTAACCCTAGCAGCGGAGAAACCCTAGAGACGGCGGATCCGACGACGGAGGCTGTAGCGGCGGCTGGGAGAGAAGATGAATCCCCCATGCTTGTGGCGGCACATGGGGTAGTGGAGTGTGGATTCGTTCATGGATCCAGAGGATAGGCGTGGCATGGTGGGGAACAAGAGCGTGGGCAAGCGAATGGATTGGCTTCCTAAAGGAACATCCCGATGTTGATTATGACAAGAAGGACCCTCCTATGTCAAGAGAGGAAAGGTATTCTCACCATGGATGCTTGATAGTATAGGGGTGAACTAAGATTGCTTTAACTACTCATGCCGTCAATGTGTGAGTTCACTGCTTCCCCCTAGTTTCGTGGTGTCCCGTGTTTGTAGTGTTGATTGGTATTTAGTGCCCTGCGTTTGTGCCCCGTGTTTGTAGTGTTGATTACGTGCTCCTTGTTGATCTGTAGGATGGACGCAAAAAGTAGCTACAACGTAGAAATCCGGATTGTTGCTCCCAATTCTCGTGCGCGGTGGTTTTCGTTGAACAAAGTCATGGATGTTGACCGCACTAACTTCTCAGACCTAGTTGCTAAAGTTGTCGACAAGTATACTCATAACTATGGCAACATAGTGAGATTGTTTTATTTCTGCATGAATAGTAAAGTGAACATCCAAGTCCGGTTGTTTCAAACCTACCGACTAAGATTTGGTTGAAATGTTTGCAAAACATAAGGCTTCCAAATCTTTGCTTGTTGTTCATTGCATATCATAGCCCAAGTAGTGAGCCCTGTGATTCTTGATTGGGATTAACAATAATCAAAGTCGAGCAGCGTAAAAGCCTTGTAACAAAATTCTTTTTATCAACATTTAACATTTCATAAGATCTTATACAAATGTGAACTCATGTTGAACCCCCATTCACCCCTTCAATTGCTTGTCCAAGCTTAGCAGAACCAAGCCATGCCACACACACTCAATCTGCTGAACCTAAATACCTAGCTAACCCAAACCCAATGAATGAGCATATGGGTGTTGATGAGGAAGGGTTGTATATTGACCTTGGTCCCCAATACCCCCACCTCCTCCTAATCCTCAGAGTCAAGGTGGAAGTAAAAGAATGGGAAGGTGAGAGTTCTGGTGCTGATGAATCCTCTGAGACAAACTTTGATGATGAATCATCTGATGATGAAGTAGAAGACATAGATGATATGGTTAAAGATAGGGAGCCTGAACATATGCCCGATGCTGATTATGACAAGAAGGACCCTCCTATTCACTACACGTAGTAATAATACTATGCTTAGGATACAAAATATGATGTATTAACTTGAATACAACCATGGATGCTTTTTAAGATTGCTTTAACTACTCATCTTAAAGGTTACTATTTGCTTTTATGAATGTTAAATATGAGTTCAACTATGACATTGATACCCCAAAATACTTAAAATCAATATTTCAAATTTTTGTCACATACATCAAAAAATTAAATTTTTCAAGATCACAGAGTGATACATGGAGGTATAGGGTGAATTCGAAAATCATCAAAGTCATTGAGTGATGCCTACCCCAAAAGTGGAGACTTCATGCCTCAACTCTAAGGGATGGGCACACTATTAAGGTAATGTGTTAGTACATTGTTTTCATTGACTACTTCCTGTTTTTCTTGCATTGTGTGGCTTGTAATAAGTGCATTACTTGACTGTTTTACAGGTGAAAAGGAACCCCTACCCTCATGAGTGTAAGAGCACTAGAAGGCAAGAAAAAGGCTAAAAAAAGTAGCAAGCTGTAACACAGATACTAGCATTGTGGTTGCTACTCCATCCTAGATGGTGTTCCCACACAATGAGGCAGTGGTCAATGCTACACACAAGAAAAGGAAGAGAAAATCTTCTTCTTATTCGGTGTGGGAAGAGCAAGATGGGGCTACCACTACTACTTCACAAAGCTTCAAAGGTTCAAACAACTGTGTTCCAAAAACAAAAAGTTGTATATTTACAACTTTGCACTCTTTAATTGATCACATCACTTCTATTATTATGTTTTGCTAATACTAAAGCACACTCTACATGTCTTTTTGCCATAAGGTAGAATTTAAATCTTGAGGTTTTTGATTCCAATGACCTAGTTCAAACCAATCATGAATGTAAAAGTGAATGCATATCAACCTAGCCCTTTTCCATGAAGACTCCATTACAATAGAGACTGATGGAGACTTCATGCCTCAACTCTAAGGGATGGGCACACTATTAAGGTAATGTGTTAGTACATTGTTTTCATTGACTACTTCTGTTTTTCTTGCTTCACCAAGGAGGAAGATAGGGATGAAAAGAAGAAGAGTGTACACCAAAAAAAGCTCAAGAGTTAGCATTGTGGTTGCTACTCCATCCTAGATGGTGTTTGCTTCAAACACTGAAGAAAAGAAGAAGCTTGACTTAGAGTGAAAGGTGCGGCTACCTCAATGTTCTTTTGGTGATGTGGTTTCTATTAAAAACACATGCTTTTTATGTGATGGCAACAAACTTGCACCTAGCCCTTTTTGCTCATTACAATGATGAATATGCTCGTCACCAAGGAGGAAGATAGGGATCAAGAAGAAGCTTTACGAGTTGCGTGTAGATGAAAACCAATAACTTAGCTGCTATGTGATGAATGTTGGTGACTATGTTGGTGCTATGAAATCTTTATGATGAAAAATAGTAAGGTAGCTGTTGTTATGTGATGAATGTTTGTTCACTGTTGAAGTACTCTAATTATTGTTATATTGTTCTCATATGTTGTTGCATTTTGGACAAATGAATAATCTTCATATTCATCATTCAACATTGATTCATTCATCCATCCATCCATCCATACATCCCTAATAGGGCTCAAATTGGATGAGTGGTAATAGATAGAACCGAGGACCTATATATAGAAGGAGAAGTCTAGGGACTCAGATGATGCCAACAACCCTGGCTTTGGCGTCAAAACGTTCAGCTTGAGGCTGACTTACAAATGACACAGAAGCAAATCAACTAGTTCACATAGCCTCTCAAGCCTAAGGGCATCTAAGTTATTTGGCTACGTCGTTACCCATTATTAAAAGCAAAATTAGATGAAATGACATATCAGATAAAAAAGTTTAGTGTGATGGCGCCAGGACACATGTGGACTTTTGGATGACATATAAAAACGGAGCATTTTTTTTGTAATGGCACGCAGCAAAAGGCTCAACCACAAAACCCCACCCCACCACCACGGACCACCACACCCCTTCCAGTCTCCACCTTGCTCCACTCTCGCTCCCGCTCGCCTCCGTTACTTGCTGTTCGTCGCCGGCCACAGCCCCTCTCCCCGCCGCTTAGGGTTTGCCTCCGCCGCTGCTGCAGGAGCTAGGGTTTCCGGCGCCGGGCGCCGGGGTATGAGCAGCAGCCGCCGCCCTGCAGGATCTAGGGTTCTGACGTCTCCGCTCACGGATGGAGGGTGGTAGAAGGGCGAGCGAATCCCACCCGGTACCTCTCCATTCCTCCTTATATATTTTTTCTTCTTCACGCGGCGTCGCCTCGCTTCTGTGCCGCAGTGTGCGAGGCCTGTAGCGGGTCGCGCGCGCGTAGCTTGGTGGGTTAGGGTTTGGGTTGGGTGGCGCTTGAGCTTAGCCGCCTTGTTTTTGGGTGGTTTCGAAGGCGTAGTTACCAATTCCAGCTTGACGCTGGGAATTAGGGTTTGGTGCCTTTTGTTTTCAGTAGCCTCATGTGCTTTGCGGTCAGACTGGTTCCGGGCTTGGTTCAATCCGACTGCTGAAAATTACAGCTTTACTTGCTTAGAGTAATGTTTTGCTGGGAGTTTAGTGCTAGCGAGCTCTCCTGAGGTCAAAGTGCACTGCACATGTTCTATTCATCGGGCAGGAGGGGGTATGGTCTTAGTTGACTGAGAATGTTCTGCTAGCAAATGTAGAATTTGCACTTTTCTTTTGGCGCTTTTAAAACGGCCACACCAATCTTTATGGTTCAGTGCGTACTGCAATTTTGTGCGGGTTATTTGTTATACAACAGTCATCATTACTGGGTACTAAGTGGCAGTCTTTTAGAGTCGTCTGAGATGCTGCCTACTGCCTAAAATACTACCTCGCTCTCGCACATACACTGATACACACTCGTACATGATGTTTTGTGCAATGATGTTCACACATCCATCTGGGTAGTTTTGCTCCCATATATGAATTATGTTATATATAAATATGATGCACCAATATATTTAGCTTGCTTGCTGCAAAGTTGCTGACTTATGTTTGACTTGTTGGGACTTCAACTTTATATGTTATAAACTTCTCTATTTTGTAGGCATACACCCATGGATCATGACGATACTGATTTTCAGAGCCAAAACTTTCAACTAGCTGGTGAAGGCAGTAGCAAATTCCCATCAGGTTTGCGACCATTTGCACTGCCAAAACTTGATATTGAGGACCAACTACAAGGCCATCTTCGATTTGATAATTTGATAGATTCAGAAGCATTTTTCAGCGTACAAGGGCACGGGAATAGTTGGATTGAGGTTCTGTCCACTGGAAGCAGTGTTGTTGATTTTAGCTCTAGCGCAACTGAATCTTGCTCAATTTCTAAAACTAATAATGTCTGGTCAGAGGCAACATCTACAGAATCTGTCGAAATGCTATTGAAATCAGTGGGAGAAAATGAGACAACTGGTAACATGGACAATAATGCTCATCTTCAGTTAAGTGGTATGGACAGTCAAACTGATCAATTGAGTGCTCATCCTAAATCTGGTAACTCCCCGACAGATAGTACTGTAGTGCCAACTGAGAAAGATCAGTCTTGGAGCACTCATTCTAGAATGACAGACGATCTTGATCGTTCTCAGAGCACTCATTCTAGAATGATTGCTGACCTTTCAAACACCAAGTCTCAGCTTGAACATTTTGCACCTTTCTTAAAGGACATGAAAGCTGAGCAGGCAGCAGATTCTGTTGCTGAGAAGTGCATTGCAGGTGAAACTCTATTGTCAGAAAGTTCTGATGGATTACTAGAGGCCATCACAAATCCAGTTAAGATGCTGCACAGGAGTGATGATACATGCAATAAAGTGAACAGCACTCTTCAACCATCTTTTTCAGCAGTGCAACATGGAACTGAAGGCCTGAAAAGTTCAGTTCACAGGAGCAATGAGCTCGTTGTTAAGGAGTTTAGTACTGGTTTAGATTCTCTTCTATCTGACCAATCTGAGGCAGACCCAAGACATTCTAATTCACATCCTGTCAGTTCTGTCTCTCCCAAAAGTAAAATTGCCGATGCCACTTGTGTTCCTGAAGAAACAAAGAATGCTGGAGGCAGTAGTACAAACACCTGCTGTACAGGTGATGAATCAAAACATGTAGTGTTGGAGCACCATCGAGATTCTGTTGACAACCAAAACAGTGGTGACATGGGAGAAAAGATAATTGAGGAGGAAATACCAGCAGTTTCAGGGAACATTGAGCAAATGAGAGAAAATGATCATGAAGAAAATGCTACCAATGCTACTGGTACATCCAAAGATAAGGTTGGCCCTTCCGACAGTATTGCTCCTGAAAACTTTGCAGCTGGCACTTTGAATGCTTCAGAAGATCCAAACATTCCCTCGCTAAATCATGAGAGATCATTCGAGCAACACGAATTGCCTGCTTTAGGAGAGAAGCCTAAAAGCACAAATTTACTCCTATCTACTTCTGGGTTTCAAGAGAAAATTTCAGCATCAGTGATCAGTTCTAGCAGTGGTGTCACGCCTACCATTGTTACTGACAATGTTGGTACTTCCGAGGATAAAAATGGCTGTTCAATAGGTGTTTCTCCTGTTGATTCCTCTGCTTTACTAGATAAAAAGGATTTGAAAATGGCCAAAGTGAATAATGAGGAGGCATTCAAGGAAGGTGCTAAATCCGCTTTAGGAGATCAAGACCACAATGGTATTTCTCCTGGCTCTGAACAAGGAGGGGAAATGCCAGCTGTGCCCATGGACTCAAGCATTGCCGTTTATAGTGGTACTGTTTCTGCTACAGAAAAGGAGAAATACAAGGAGCAGCCTAATTCTTTGGGTGCTTTGACCACAGGAGAAACTCAGGATAAATCAGGTGAGCCTTCTGTTTTTTTCCTCCTATCATGGCATGAGCTTGTTGGGCATATTTCTAACTGTTGTGTGCACTTCGAGTTTGTTTTACTTGTAAAACTGATAATACTGGGATTCATTCAGGTAACCATCCAGATGCTCATTCACTGAAATGCTAGACTGATAGATCTTCAATACTTGCAGATCGTATAGATCCAACCACAGCACCTATGTTAGGTATCCCAACTGGAAAGGTGGCTGAAAATATAGTAAAAACTCCACTGGATGCAAGTGATGATTTGAATGCACATATGCAAGGTCAGTTATTTGTGCTAGCACAATGTCAATGCAGTTATTTTCATTCCCCTTTTCACCAGTTCGAAGCAGAAAAATAGATGTTTCAAACTTAGCACATTTATGGTCTATCATGCATGCATCACAATGTCTTTCCTAATATGTGCCAGGTGCACAATAGGTCATGTGCCAGGCTTATCTTAGTCATTATGGTGGCATTTATGTTCTATTATCACTTTTTGACCTGTCTAATGTGCATGGTCAGTGACTTTAATCCCCAATCTGAGTAAAGTAACTTAGATTGGGAGATGGAGTGATAGACACATCTATGTAAAGCTGGTATCCTCATCATACTCTTTTATGCTTTCTATAGAGCTGGGACAAAAGCCTTTGGTCTAATATACCAAGTGTTATAAGCATTGCTAACGTAGACACCAACTGTTGTCAATGCAAAGTGACATGTTTTTTTTTGGGTACAGATATAGTGTTAAATTGCGGTACAGATTGTAGTCCTGGTACTGTGCCATCCCTAGGGAGGCAAGGCTCAAGCTTATTGGAACCTGGTAATGGTAATGGTAATGGAATCTGCACTGGGGTTACATGTGAGTCCCCTTCAGTGATTAGTTGCGCTGAATCCTCTCCCCAAGAAGGTGGACATGGCAACAATGCTTTACTTCATCACACACTATGTGGGCAATCTGAGGATCCTAAAGATCGTGGGGCCACAGCTGATGCTACCCAGAGCTCAAAACAATGCTGTACCAGAAATATAGAATCTGCTCCTGGTTCTGAGGAGACTAGTGCAGCAGGTGGTGATAGAAGCTTCTCATTTGAGGTGGGAGCTCCACCAAATGTTGCTGAGAAAGCCCATAGCCCTGTTTGGAGCCCTTTCCCTAGATACATAACTTCTCAGAGTACCAAGGTCTCTCTCTCTCTCTCTCTCTCTCTCTCTCTCTCTCTCTCTCTCTCTCTGCATGCGCCCACGTGTATGACATATATTAACATGGTTTTGTATCCAAATTTTAGACGGCCACAGAAAATCCTCAAGCTGGAAGTTCTTTAAAGGATACTAGTGATGATAGTAAGAAAGCATCTACTGTGGAGGCCGGTAAAGAACAGCTATCAGAAAGGAAAGTGACTGAAAGTTCTGGGGGCGGCCCCTCAGACAACTCTAATATAGGCAGCAGCATTAAGAGTAGAAGTTCACCGCCGCGGCAGCATCCAATCCCTGAGTGTTCTGGTATGCAAATCTAATATATTTTGACGGTTCGAAGCTATTAAAAATTTAATTGACTTGAATATTTCAGTTTCTTCTGCAGATTTAGTGAATTTTCCATTCACAGATCCACAGCATTTACAGCTACGCGCACAGATATTTGTTTATGGAGCTCTTATGTGAGTTATAATTCTCTTAAAGTTACTCCTATCCCAAATATAATAAATCCATATAGCAATATCTCGCATGCACCAATTATAAAGCCATGACGAACTTCAATGCACATTTTACCTTATTCTTCCATTTCTGCCACTTCTTAATTGCACCCTGACCAGTGCACTAAACTTGTCACCTATCTAACTCTAGCAGTAAGTGATGAGCATAGTGCAATTGTACCCGTTACCTTAATTCTTGTGCCCAAAGGTGAAACTTGATGATTTTTGGGATTAGTTGGAGTATTTGTTTGTAAAACGTGAGATCTAATATAAGTTAATTTTCTTTGAGCAGTCAAGGAACGCCACCAGGAGAGGCTTACATGGTGGCAGCTTTTGGAGAACCTGGTTTGTCTGGCTTCACCGTTTAATATAGTCCTCTTCCGCCCTATATGTATCTTATAGATTTTTTGTTACATGAACAGTTGGTGGTGGCAAACCTACATGGGAGGCTGCTTGGCGAGCTGCTTTTGAAAGATTTCAGTATCAAAAATCGCTTTATACCAGTTTAGAGACCCCCACAAGTGCACGTATAGGTAATTATATGACTGATAGTGGAACAATATCTGACAGACATTTTTTTTTCTATTTTTTCTGACCAGCTGAGTTTGCAGGTAGTTCTGTGCCTGAGAAAGCTAGCAAGGGTACAGCAATTACAACTGTGCCAGCTAGCAAAAAAGGTGGCAAAACTGTGGTGCCAGCACATCCTGCTGTAACCCTACACTCCCCAACTTCTAATGTACCTTTTGGTAGTTCTACATTTAACCTGCAACGAGGTACTCATCTGGATTTTAACCAGGCAGTATCACCATTTGCATATAATTCACACATGAGACATCCGTCTCCTGGTGTTGCCCCCTGGTATACTCAAAGCCCTGGTCCACGTCCTGCATCCTGGTTGATTCCACCACAAAACTTAATATTTGATTCATCGATGCAACCAGCTATTCCTACAAATGAAACTGCGAAGGGGGCATCATCCAAAAATATATCCATTTCACATACTGTTTCATCTGGTGTAGTTCTTCCCAGTCCAGCACCTTCTATTGTTTCTTCTCCAACAGCAGTTGTGAATGATGGGAAACAGAAGGCTGCTTCTAGCTCTAAGCATGGCACTGCATCACAAAAGCCAAGAAAAAGAAAGAAAGCTTCAGCAAGTCCGGAACAGCAACCTTTCTTTGCTTCTCCTCAGCTCAAAATGGACATGCCATCTTTTACTCCTGCCATTAAGCACACAGCAGGATTTGCCTTATCCGGTAGCAAGCTTGTTCCTAACACTGGCCAGATTGCCTCTGAACCTAACTACCAGATCACTGGTGGTACGGATAGTGAGCAAAGAATCATCTTTTCAGAACAGATCCGTGGTGCAGTAGAACAATCAACTGCACAGGCTAAAGGTGCAAGCATTGACTCAATGGAGGCAGTTAAGCACAAGGAAGGCTTATGGAGCCATCTATCCACAATCTCGAGAGACAAGTTACCTCCAGAAGTTGAAGAGAAGCTTACCTCGGTTGCAGCTGCTGCTGAAGCAGCAGTTTCTGTTGCAAAGGCAGCTGCAGAAGCTGCCAAGATGGCGTCAGAGGCTGCATTGCAGGCGAAAATGATGGCAGAGGAAGCTCTTAGCTCTTCTATATCTGTAATGCCCATGCATCACGAAGCTGGTCAAATTAATGTCATTAGCAGTCCACCTACCTTGTCAAGTTCAACACCAGCATCATCTCTGAAAGTTAAGAACAAGAGTCATGCCCCAGGTTCTATCATTTCTGTGGCACGGGAGGCTGCTAGAAAGAGGGTTGAAGAGGCATCTGCAGCTGCAAAACGTGCTGAAAACTTGGATGCCATATTGAAAGCTGCAGAGCTTGCTGCGGAGGCTGTGTTCAGGGCAGGAACCATTATTGGAATGGGAGAACCACTACCTTTTACCCTAAGAGAGCTTTTGGAAGCTGGGCCGAATGGCTATTGGAAGTCAGCGAGTGTGAGGAATAAATCTGGAAGTGGTAATGATAATCCAGTAACAGAAACATTGGAGGTAGATGCACCTGTTAACTTTAACAAATCTGGCAGAAAGCGTGGTCGGAAACCTAAATATGATCAAGCACTACTGGGTTTGGAGCCATCTTCAAGTTGCAAAGAATTACAGCCATATGGAATACACTCAGGTAAAGTTACAGTTAGCTTTTGGCATATCAAGACCATCGTTCAGTTTCAGCTCATTTACCTTCTGTTTGGCTAATGTAGGACATGGGGTTGTTGAAGATGTTCCTGTCACTGTGTCGCTGGATGGTAACAATGTTATAGCGCCAATAAACATTATCTGGAATGGCATTGAAAAGGGATCTTCAGTTGAGGTAAGTTTCTTTGTTTGGCTTGGACACGGTTCTCCTTTCTCCCTTTCGACATGATGATCATAGAGTGGGTGTCTCTGGACTCTGGACTCTGGGCCTTTTGTTATTCCTTTTCTTCTTATATTATGTACTTTATGGTATTTATTGGTTTCCTTGTTTCCTGATTGCTGCATCGTAAATTAACATAATCTCCCCAATTACATTCACATCAATATAGTAAAAATCAGAAAATGCTAGTACCTCAACCTTTTCATGTTAATATGTTGGTAATGGTCATAAAAACATATTTGAGTCCGTATGACAAATCTATATTGGTTGATGTGCATCAGTCCAAAACTAATGAAAATTTGTCTGCTTACGTTTTAAGATGCTAATGATGTCCTTAAGTTTTTACATGCTCTGTTTCAGTATAAGTGTTTCTCAGCCTTGCTGTGATCTGATCTGATTTGCCACCTCAATTCTTAATGCAACCTTTTTACAGTGTTACTTCATTTTGTTTTTGATAGGTTTTATCTGACAAGGGTGGGTTTGGAGTAGCTTGGTTTTCTGCTAAGGTTATTGATATAAATGCAAATAATGCTTTTGTCAACTATGACAACCACAATGGTGAGTATCCATTCATTGACCCGCATATCAACCTTTTGTTGCTGCTCCTTCCATGGTGTCGTTCCATTTTTGACCTTTTTCACGGCTACTTATTTAATTAATCTTTTTCAGGAACTGGTCCTCGTGAAGAATGGGTGCCATTGAGACAAGAGGGAGATAAGCCGCCACAGATACGTCTTGCGCACCCTGCTACCCTCTCTAAATTCAAAACTAGGAAACGACGCAGGGAAACAGCAGGCAGTTGTTTATGGGTTATTGGAGATCATGTAGACGCTTGGGTCAATAATAGGTATATGCTATTGCTTGATGCGAGTTCACTATTTGTTGTGGTATCAGTGTTCTTAGGTTTATTATCCACTTTATCTGATGCTTGTTTCTTTCAGCTGTTGGCGAGAGGGAGTTATTTCTCAGAATTATGAGACTGATGAGACGAAATATGTTGTACATTTTTCAGGTATTTTTTGCAGCCACTATCCCCCGTCATCCATTTTTTCCTTTTTACCTCCCTGTGTCCTTTTACATGCATTCATTTGAACTTTTTTAGGAGCTTAAGAGGCTAGAAACAGTAGTTTGCTATTCATCAGTGCTGTACTAGTAGTCTGGTATTGATGGGAGAGCAGGCAGTGCCATTGAATTTTCAAAATTGGCAGAATTAATATTCCTTGTACATCAAACAGGATTAATATAACAAACTATTCTAGTAATTGTGGGTTTTATAAAAAGAGAGACAACACAGCTTATGAAATTCATGTTCATTCTCCACCCATGGCCGAAGCATTGTCGATCAGTATCCTGGTGTTTTTACATGCCAGCCACCTGAGTTAGTGAGTTATTTTTTAGCTTCTTAAGTCCCGTGTAATCCTCAGAAGAGTCCTGGCCCTCCTCCCCATCTGTGTGTTGGTCCATTATCTACAATTTGGAGGCTGTACATTGCCATAGCTTGAGCATCTGTGCAATTATTCTTCAGTACCACCTGTGACAATGTCCATTTAATGTTAATTAGGTCACCGACCCATCATCAATCGTTAGGTGCACAATATGTTCCAATCACCTTAGCTAAGATCACGTAGATTTCACCACTACATAACTTTGGCAGTATCATAGCCAATGAGAAGGTGCATGATATTTTCTTGCTCTTGATTTTGGGAAAAAAATGTAAATGAAGGATAAACTAGAAACTTCGGAATACATAGAATAAACCAGTTTATTACTATGGTGGGTGGGGGGTAGGGGCATAGCACTGGCCAATGCAATTATGCCTATGAGGCTCTTGAGCTAAAACTGATATTTTAATTTTTTTTACAGACTTTATGGTTTATTAGTTATTTTTGTAACTGTCTTATCTGATGTATCGTCACGTGCGGTCTGCATCGAACCTTGTTTTTTATTATTTATTTCCAGTTGGAGGTGGTGGTGAGTCCTTAGTAGTTGATGCTTGGAGTCTTCGTCCATCGCGTGTTTGGAAAGATGGTCAATGGATAGAGTGGTCCCGTGCAAGAGAAAGGAAATCCAAATCTAATAAGGTTGATTTTTTTTACTTTCTAGACTTTTTATCTTTTACTCTGTACCTGATGTTCAAAGTTCTGCTTTTGCTCAATGACTGAATTGCAATTCCTATGATCTTAGGGCGATTCACCTCTTGAGAAACGCCAAAGGACAGACTTGCTTCAAACAGGTGGCAATCTATCTGCTGTTGGCGAAGCGGGGGGTTCTTCGAAGGACAAGAATACTAACAATGCAAAAAAACCGGAGGAACTAAAGCCATTGTCTTTGTCTCAGGGGGAAATTGTTTTCAACATTGGGAAGAGTGTAGTTGAGAACAAATTTGATGCTCTTGCATTCAGACGGCCTGGATTACAAAAAGAAGGATCAAAGGTTGTCTATGGTGTTCCAAAACATGGAAAGAAGAAGAAGTTTATGGAAGTAAGCAAACATTATGACGCAGGTCAGTCTGACAAGATTTCTGAGGGCAATGCATCTAACAGATTCGCAAAACATCTGATGCCACAATTGCCAAGGCCACGTGAAAATACTTCCAAAGTTGATGCTAATAGAGGAAGAAGAGTAGGCGAGACGAGGTCTAGATTACCTAAACCTACGAAGTCTCAGAGCGTTGGAGGTAGCAGTGATTCCTTGCCCATGCATGTTCCAAATTGTGTTTCTCAAAGGAGTTTTGGTTTTGTGGGAAGTTCGACAAGCACTTCCAACAATGAGAAGCTCACTTCAGAAAAAAATAATCCTGCGCTTGGTGTGGGCCTTAGAACTGAAGTTCCTTCTGTTTCTGAACTGGAAACTGCATCTACTGTTCCTAGTTCCAAGCCGAATGTATCCACTACTACTCGAGCTAAAAGGAAATATGTTCCCACTGTCAGTAACACAAACAGAGGTATACTCAAAACCTCTGAAAAGACGAGTTCTGATTCTGGTGAACCCCGAATGACTACTTCTGATTCTACTGAACCCAGACGATCTAACAGGCGAATTCAACCAACTTCAAGGGTAAGTACAATAAGTATATCTATGTTGCAACATACTATTATTAATCTGGACATTGCCTTTGAAGTCCCTTCTGTCATTGAGTTTTAGTAGTACACTTTATTTCACTAATTGTTTACTCTGCATAAAATATAATTTGGCTTATGAAATACTCTTATTCTATTACTGCTAGTTATTCTAGCCTTTTTATTATACTTCATTTTGTTGGACAACTGAGATAGGTTACTGTTTTTCTCTGTGCTTGCACACGAGTGGTGCTAGAGTGCGTGTCTGCTATGGAACTTGCTATGTCTACTTATGTTATGCAGCTTGCCTGAAATGACCTACATATCAGAATTCTTATTTTATATGCCTCCAATGTTTTGTGCTACAGTTACTAGAGGGCTTGCAGAGTTCCCTCATAATCTCTAAAGTTACTGGCGAGAAGGTTCCTAGGAGCAATTCCAAAAGTGCAATGTCAAGAGGTACCTCCACTTATTCCCTTATTTTACTTTATGAGTGTAATCCTTTATTTTCTTTCATTCTTTGCTTTCCTTTGCTTCTGATGGTCATTCTGTTATGAACTTGTTGTCGAAACAGGGAGAGCTCAAGCTCATGGTTGAGTGAAGGCACCACATAGCTGCTTTCGGTGGGACATCTCTCGTTGTACATAGCTGCAGCCTTCCAGTATGGAAGCAGGAGGATAGGATTGGAGTAGGAAGTCTTTATTGGAACACAAGGATTCGGATGTATTATAAACTAGCTTAAGTGCATTGTGTTAACCCTTTCTTTTACTTGCTTGAATCAGACTTTCCGTGTTGTAGAATAGCCATTAATCTCGTAGCAACCTCCTCGTAGTATGTGTGGATACACCGGGAAAGAAATTGGGTTTGGTTTAAATTCATCCGACAATTTAACATGTGATGAAGCCTGTGAACTCGTGACTCGCCAGCGATGTTTGATCTTTCAGTCCTTTTCTAAGTCGTCTCCCTGCAGTCGCAGAAGCTGGATGGTGCTCTGCTTCTGTGCCGTTGTGTAGTGGGTCTGGGGGGGTTTTTTTTTTTTGTGTGGAAACGGCCAGCAGTGCTGAATTGCTGGTTTGATATGGGTGTATTCGCGTCATGATCAGTGGTTTTGGTGTTGAGCTCTTGGTTATCGATGCCTGGGAAGTGGGAACCATACTTTCTGGGCTTTAGATTCAAGCCAATACTCAACTAATGATGCATCTGCTGTTCTTGTACCCTACTCCACAAGCTAAAAGTTCCGTAGATGTGCTCTTCAGAACTATCGCAAATACACACGGGAGAACTATTATTCTGCAGAACGTGGAAGTGCCTCGTTCAATCTTTTTGAAGTCTTCAGTCTGTCAGAGTATTCCGGCGTCGTTTGGATAGTGGCCAGGATTGGGAAATGGATATGCTCTGGGTTGTACAGAGGTGGCCAGTTGGGTTAAGGATGAGGAAATGAGCATTAAAACCCGTTTGGGTTGTGTTGGGCTACGGTTTGGGTTCAAGTGGGGCCCACGTTCTTTGATTAAAAAAAGAACACAAACTTTCCTGGCCTTATCCATTCCGCTACTCCAATCGAGCTAGGCGGAGGCCGGTGAGCAGAGAGCGAAATAGCGAATCCAGCTAGGCGATTGCTCCAATCGAGCGAAATAGCGGATCGAGCTGCGGCGGTTGCTCCAATCGAGCTTCTTGCCGGCCCACGCTCCGTGGCGATGGGGCTGCAGCTCTACGTGCTCGCGCAGCAAGGCCAGCTACGGCTCCAAGTGCCCGCCGGAAAGGCAAGCTGCGACTCCCACGGCCACCGCGACCAGGAGAGCTGTCGCTCCGATGGTCCGCGTGGCGGCGCGGAGCGCGTCAGTGCCAACGGCGACTGCTGCTCCCTCACCCGGTCGTTGGATCGATGTCTTCGTGAGCTATTCCTGCTCAAAACCCACCATCCCTCTCGATGGGATAGAATAGCAGGGAAATGAGGGTTTGGTATCCCATTCCTTAACCCATTTATTTCCTTATCCTCTCAACTGAAAAAAAAACTGTTTAGCTTCTAGATTTATCTTATGTGTGTCGTGCCAGCCAACAGGCTGCTCCAACGGCCTAGGCACGGCCCTATAGGCCTTGCGCCGGCCCGACGGCCCGACAATCCTCAAGCACGTCTTATGTACCCATCATTCTACAGAAATTGTAACATGTGCAGATTTGACTTCGTCGTTAGCAATCATTAATTGTACTATTGCGTAAGCAAATTATATAAAATTATCAGGTAGCTTCCTTTGGAATTAGACTATGACGTCTTGTCATGCTAGCTGCCAATCTTGAATTCTCTCGTGTATACTATATGCAGTCTGACTTTCGTGTGATTGTTCATTTGTCAGCAACAGCTATAAGTCATGGAGCTAGTTGAATCGGGGAAAGCTTGTTGCTTCAAGGAAATCAAGGGAAGATGGCTGAAATCTTTGAGAAAATGAAAGTGGAGTTCGTCAGCCAAGATGAGAGTGTGCAGGTTGTTGCAGATAACGTCCGTGGCACTGGTGAGGTTCCTGAAAGGTATGTCAGGTCTGAGACTAAGGCTGATCCTGTTATCATCGATGCCGAGGGTTATAATCTACCGGTAATAGATATGTCAAGATTGCTCCACCCCGATTTTTCTGAGGAAGAGACCGCTAAGCTTGGATCTGCCTGCGAGCATTGGGGATTCTTCCAGGTTTGTCTTGCTGCAGAATTTAGCTCCCTTTGATGCATGCCTCCCCACATTTATCCCACTGTCTGTCTGTATGTACATGCAATTGCCTTGTAACTATTCCTCTGATGATTATTTCACTTATTTAGTAAAGAGAGATCCACTATTTTGCTCTGTTATACCATGGTTGACACTAATCACAACAAACTCATGGGATTAGTGTGATAATTGCAGCTAGTGAACCATGGAATGGATGGAGGATTGTTGCAGCAAATTAAGGCTGACATCACCAACTTCTTCAGTCTTCCACTGGAAGAAAAGTTGGTAGTAGCGATTCCACCAAATGGCATGGAAGGGTTTGGCCACCACTTTGTTTTCTCTAAGGAACAGAAGTTGGACTGGGTGGACATATTGTTCCTTGCCACACGGCCTATTGAACAAAGGAACCTGTCCTTCTGGCCTGCAAAGCCTTCCACATTTAGGTGAAATTATCTTACTTCAGCCAGTTTGTGTCATGTTTTAAGAAACTTTTGCATTTGATGTCTGTAACAATTGGATATTAGATTTCTTCATGTACTCCAGTTTTTATCACGCAAAAGTAGGTAACACGAGTTGAGAAGAATTGCTTCTATAAGCTAACATGGAAGGTGCCTTTGCAATAACATCTGGATGATAATCTTTGAACGTGCTTTGTATTGAAGCACACAGATTTTCATTCAACATGTATGACAGTATATTTATTCAAATTGGGCTGTTACATGGACGCTAGATACAAGAAACCTTGAAAACCGTTTTTGATGCTGATGTTTGCTCCTTCTAGGGATACACTGGATAAGTACTCACTGCAACTGTCAAATGTTTCTGCACAATTGTTCAAGTTTATGGCCAACAACCTTGGAGTTGACCAGGAGGTATTCCTAAGTACCTTCAAGGGTCTACCTCAGAGCGTGAGGATCAACTATTACCCTCCCTGTAGTCAAGCTGACAGGGTCTTAGGCCTCTCACCGCATACGGATGGTGTTGGCATGACATTCCTCCTCCATGTCAATGATGTGGAAGGACTACAAATCAGAAAGGATGGAAAATGGTTCTCTGTGCAGGCCATGCACGGAGCACTCATCGTCAACATAGGCGATATTATAGAGGTAATTTGGCTTAACGGTTACTCCATATGTTATAGACAAAAAGGGTGTGACTATAGAGTGATAACACTTACATGTTGCAATTTCGGACTGCATCACATAAACCATCAGCCTTTTAACATTATTTATCTCCAACAGATCCTCACCAATGGCAGGTACAAGAGTGTTGAGCACAGGGCAGTAATAAACCCCAACAAGGAAAGGATTACCATTGCAGCATTCCACAGCATTCACCTTTTCTGCACAATTGGCCCACTTCAGGAGTTGCTGACAGCAGACAAGGCACGGTACAAGGTGATAGATGGTGTTGAGTTCACCAAGGGCTACTTTGCTGCAAAGCTAGAAGGCAGGAGGTACTTGGAGAGCTTGAAGCTAGGCCTATGAGATTCCGGTAGTATTGTATTTTAACATGTTTACCTTGATCTTTCCTTTGAATGGGTAGTTATTGATAGCTTTCCTTCACTTTCAGCAAAGATGTGAGCTGGTGTGAAGATCGACAAACACTCATTTTGAAGGCTCACCGTACTTTGGAGACCGCAGCATTGAGCCTCTTTGTGTCCTTCGGATGGCCTTCATTATTTAGAATTGGGTTTTGAGTTTGTTTTGTCATAAATTTCTTTGTATGCCTTGAATTATTGGGTTGAATAAGTGTTGAGTTGTGATCCAAATCCAGTTATGTACAAGATAAAGGCTAACTTCTGCCGGAGCGAAGCGAGGCCCGTCGCCGGGAGGCTTGGGCCGAAGCGAAGCCGACGCTGAAGTTAGCCCATCATGTTTCCCTACCGCACCTCGGGGGGAGCCCCCCACGGTATGGATCGTCGTCTATTAGGGTTTTCCATCTCTATATATATACTTCCTGTAAGCTGTCATCTTGAGATAAGAAAAGTTGTAAATCCCCGATGTTTGTAACCTCACCCGATATAGTGAAGATTTGCTGGCCGGTGCCCATAGTTTTTTTCCTTCTTCCTTGGAAAGAGTTTTCCACGTTAAAATCTCGTGTCTCCTGTGTTTGATCTACTATTCTTCGTCGTTTATATTGCCTATCGTTTCTAACAATAAGTTGGTCTGATGATACTTCTTTCCTTTATCTAAAAAAGGCAAAGATATGAGTTGATGTTTCTGTTGGTGAGTGGCTAATAGTTGATGCTGGCTTATTCATGCCTTTGCCTGATATACGTTGCTTTGATTATGTTGGGCTTTGTATGAAAACGGCTAGGCCAGGTTTGAAGGCCGGCTAGCCCTGCTTTGTTGTTGGTTGTATGAAAACGCCATTTGAAGGCCGGCTAAGCCAGTTTTGCCCAGTCCAAATAAAAAATTAGAAAACATGGTGATTTCAATATGAATCTCGTTTACTCCTCCAAACCCTGGCTCTTTGAACTTCCAAAACCTACTGTTCTATGCATCTCGTTCGTGGGCTTTGCGGTGTTCTCTGTAGAAGCCAGCTAAAGCCGAGTTCAGAACCGGCTAGTCCGGGTTTCCTAGCACCGCCGGCCATCACCGCATTTGCGCGGCACATGATCAGCGTCAACAGAGTAGTTAACTATTTGTGGACGGAAAGTATAGTTTTATTATCTGTAGTGAACGTCGTCGTCCTGCATCCCTCGAGAAATAAGCAATCGTGCAATCCGCTACTGCATTCTTTTCTATTTCTTGAAATTGACATTGTCAATTGCAATCAGTAGGAGCTTAGACTTTGGTGACAGGCCATGTGATTTTCCGCTGGATAGGTTCCACATGAGCATCATCAATTCAGATCTTCAATACTTCAAGGGTACAGTACAAGAAGATATGTTCTGAAAAGAATCAATCAAAGCAACCACCAGCACCTGCAAGATCAAGAAAACACCAATGGCTCACGCTAGAGCTGCAGGATCTCTACCAGGCAAATGTGCAGGAACTAGCACAGACTTGCAGCAGATCTGATGAGCAGGTACCTGAGAGGTACATCAGGGCGGAGGCTAACACTGAACATGTCATCACTGGTTATGCTAATAGCTCTGCGACTGCAATTCCTATTATTGATCTCAGCAAGTTGTATGATCCCCAATCATCGCATGAAGAGTGTTCAAAGCTCGGATATGCCTGTCAGCAGTGGGGCTTCTTTCAGGTATGAAGAGATTATTTCTTGCAATGGGAATGAAATTGAAGCATTGCACGAAAAACTGCAGCTAATCAACCATGGGGTGCCAGACGAAGTGATCCGTAACCTGAGGGAAGACATTGCCGAGTTCTTCAATCTGCCACTTGAAACCAAGAAGGCATACTCACAGCTACCGAACAGCCTTGAAGGCTATGGCCAGGCCTTTGTTGTGTCGGAGGAGCAGAAGCTGGACTGGGCGGACATGTTCTATCTCGTGGTGCGGCCGAATGAGGCTAGGGACCTGTGGTTCTGGCCTGCTCACCCTCCTTCCTTCAGGTAACCAGCCGAAAGTCGTAATTCGTACAATTCTTAAACGTTGCTTTGTGAGTTATGCTTCTTCCTGGGAACTCTGTTTGCAGAACATCCATAGATTGGTACTCCTTGGAGGTGGTGAAAGTGGCACGCTGCTTACTGGAATTCATGGCCAAGGACATGGGAGCTGAGCCGGCATCACTGCTCGAGACGTTTTCCAAGGGCAGCCACAAGGCTTCAGGATGAACCACCGTGCCGGCAAGCCAACCAAGTGTTGGGCATGTCGCCGCACACAGACGCCGCCGGCCTGACACTGCTACTCCAGGTGAATGGCATGCCGGGCCTGCAGATCAGGAAGGACGGCAAGTGGTTCACCGTGAACGCTCTAGAAGGGGCGTTGATAGTCAACGTTGGCGATGTACTTGAGGTGATGGATGCTGTATCGAATATAGTCTAGCACCCCTGTTCGTTGATCTCTCACCGATCTGTTACTGCATTACAGATCCTGAGTAACGGCAGGTACAGAAGTGTCGAGCACCGGGCAGTGGTGCACCAGAACAGAGAGCGCATCTCGGCGGCGGTGTTCCACCGGCCATGCCAGGATGCCGTAATAGGCCCTTTGCCGGAGCTCCTGAACGACAACAATAAACCACGGTACAGAGCAATGGGCTACATGGAATTCATGAAGCGCTACTATTCAGCAAAGCTCGACGGACGGAATCACCTGGAGAGCTTGAGAAATGAGCTGTGAACTCAACGAAAGTCTAAGCATTTGGTCTCTCATGCTTGAGATGACATGCTTCCTTGTTTTGACAGGTGTCTTGTAGTCGTTATGTTTTATACATGCTGGGATTGGGAATAACATTTTTGTCTCAGTAGTTTGTCCAGTACGTTTCTTTTCCATTTTCATGCATTACCTGAAATCCACAATAATCACTATTCACTAGTTTTTCCCGAAAACGTGCATTATGTGGTACGGGAATTACTAGAGCCCGGACGTTCGGAGCAAATAAGCGCGTCCAGACGCCCTGCGCATGCTACTGCCCCAGCTCGCCCGCCCACCCGCACATGGTGCTGCGCTGCTGCTGCACGCGCACGTCTGTCCCCCGTCTGCCTCGCCCTGCCCCGCACTCGTATCCCGCTCCCGACCACCTCACCCTGCCCCACGCGCACCCTGGCTGCGCCCGCCACTCCTACCCCCTGACCCCTCTTCTCCCCACGCGGGTAGGACCCAGGAGCCCGAATGAGGACGAGCACGCCCCGTCCGCAGGACCCCATGTGCGTTGTGCGCCCATCTGCCGACCCCTGGCTCACCGCGCCCCTTCCCCCAGCGCTCGGGCCGTGTCCCCATGACTATCTGAACATACCTCTGAAACATGAAACTCTTGTAACATGAAACACTTGAAGCAACGTCTGAAGCATATGAAACATTTGGAACATACACTTGCAACATATGTGTGAAATATATGCAACATCCAGATAAAACACTTGCAACTTGCAACATGAAAACACTTATTGCAACATAAGACTGAAATAGCTGAAATATTTCGAACATACTCTTGCAACATATGTGTCAAACATGTGCAACATCCAGATAAAAATGCTTGCAACATACGTCTGAAACAGATGAAACATTTTGAACAAACGCTTGCAACATGCCTCTGAAACACTTGCAACATATGCAACAACCCGATCTACCTTTGCAACATCCATATGAAACACTGCAACATACCTCTAATAACATCTAAAACACTTGAAACATATATTTGCAACATAGGGGGAGGGAGAGGCCAGGGCCGGTTGATTCTGGCCTCGGAGTGGGAGCCAGCGCCGAGCGGCAGCAGGCGAGCACCACCAGCACGGGTCGCGCTTCATAGGTGCCCTTGGCTCGGTCGGGACCGACCTGAGGCGCGCGACGGCACCACCAGCGCCAGCAGAGGCGAGCGGTGCTGCCCCTGCCTGATCTCATCCGCATCACTGGATGCCGCCGCCAAGGGAGGATGCGGACCGAGCTCTGTGGAGAGGAAGGGAGGCCGAGGTCGACTAGTCACCACTCCTGGACCGAGGTGCCATCGGAGAGGGACAGAAGCGGTCGGGCGGGCGCGACGAACTGAAGCCGCGCGTCGGTGAACTGCGGTGGAGAGGGAGGAAGGCAGCCAACGACGCTCAGGTGAGGTGAACATGGAGGATGGCTGCCGGCCAGCCATGGTCATGGAGCGTGGAATTGGAATTCGGTGGCGAGTGGGGACAGGAGACCCGTGAGTGAAGAAGACAGACAAACATGTTTTTTTTATAAAACAGCCGATCGGAGAAGGCATTCGGGATAGTTGGACCGTTCGTACCATTGCGGCCCACGGCAACGGGAGTGTCCGGACCGGACACCCTGACCCTGCATTTCCGATTATATATTGTAAGGAGGAGACTGCAAAAGCGAATTCAGGGTGAATAATTTTCCAGAGATGGACGAAGGTTGAATAGGATGTCCATGCATTTTGTATTTTGGAACCCTTCTGGTCCTGAAGCTTGAAGGGAACCACCTAGAGTTTTTTTTTAGTTTCTAGTCAGGACGTATTGAAGTTTTTTATTTGGCGAAACACAGTACAAACATACACACAAATGAGACACTGAGCTGGTGTCTTGAGATAAACAAAGTCGTCGTAGACGCCTCATTATTGATGGCCATATCACCTATCATTAAAAGAATAGCACTATTTCTCTATGGAATAAATCTTAAAAAAAGCGATTTGACCCCTCTTCAATCTGTGTTCTCTCCTACAAATTTCCTTGTTACACTAGAAATGATAACAAATGCCATCTTAGAAGATCATTGAAAGCATATAGGCTCCTAATTGGTTTTAATGATTAATGATAACATGATCATTAAGAACACGTTTATGCGGCATTCTTATTAGATTGATTCTAAATGATAGGTTATATTGGTCATTCGTGTGGTTTTTATAGTGAAGGATCAAAGGATATGTGTAAACCAAAATTAACTGTAGAGAAAATTTCTCCTTTTTGGGCGGCGAGATCCAGCGGCGAGGCGGCGTCTATCATCAGGTCCTTGTGCTCGGATCCATGAAAGATATGGGCAGAAAACGTGATTCTTCTTGATCTTGCCTTATACCCCATGTAAGGCACTGTACGTCGCAAGCCATGGAGCTTGGCCTCCAAAGAGCTCTCCCTTGCTGGCTCGGCTTTGACTTTCTGTTCCTCTCTTTTTTTTTAGCCCGTTGATGTTTTACCTGTGCTGTGCAACATGGACGATGATGATGCTCGTGATGCAGCTCTGATGTGACATCTCCTTGCGAGGGCGTGGAGGTGACATGCGGACAGAGGTGATTTCAGTTCGGTGATGCTCCGCGTGGACACCACATTGTGCCCGCCTATCTGCTGTTTGTTCTTTGATCATTTGATGGATCATGGCTGTATATACTGTGCTAAAAAGACAGAGGCCCCGTTCGCTTCGCCGAAAAAACAAGCTGAAATATTGTTCCGCCTGATTTATTGCGAGAGAAAAACACTGTTCCGGCTGAAAAAACAAGCTGAAAAGTACGAATCATAAGACAAACGAACAGAACGATAGTTTTGCTCTGATCCGATGCATGCTATCCTTGCCTCGTTGGGCTTTCTCAGTTTCGATTTAAGATCCTATTTTGATCTTGATTCCTGATTCCAGATAGAGAAGACTAACACGTGTGTTCAAGCCATGGGTCCACACATCTAAGGATTTGGTTAAGTCGTGAGATGTGAAAAAACTAGTGTGAGCTAAGAAAAACTAGTTGTGAGCTGTTTGTGGAAAAAATTATAAACTCTTTGATTGAAATGAGTATAAAACATACCTTCTCTTTATATCTCCCTTGAAATAGCTCTCTATTTTCACCCATTTTGAAAAGCAGAAAGCCAAGCAGGATCAAGATGCTTTCAAAATTGTACTACAAGAAATAAACTGCATCTGTAAAAAATCACGTTTCAGCTTTCTGCTTTTTGACAGCAGAAACACTTTTTTTTGAAGCACGTCCAAACACAATCACAGATAATATATTGATTGCGTATGAATGTATCCATGCTATCAAGAAGAAACAAGGGAAACGTGGGTTATGTGCAGTGAAATTGGACATGCATAAGACTTATGATAGGGTTGAATGGGTGTTTCTGGAGAAGATTATGTTAAAGATGGGTTTTGATGCTCGGTGGATGGCTCTTATTATGTCATGTGGGACCTTTGTCAGGTATACAACTCGGTTTAACTCAATGGAGACAGATATTTTTTCACCTACCAGAGGGATTAGACAAGGGGATCCCTTGTCCCCTTATCTTTTCCTTTTTGTTGCAGAAGGCTTATTGAGTATGATCAAGCACGCTGAGGAGAGTGGAGAGCTGCAGGGGATCCGAGTATGTAAAAATGCACCAATGGTTTCTCATCTTCTATTCGCTGGTGATTCTTTAATCCTTATGCATGCTGATAAAAGTAATGCGGATTGCCTGAGGAATTTACTAGACAGATATTGTCTAAATTCCGGTCAATTGTTGAGCGAGAACAAGTCAAGTATTTTTTTTCTCTGGAAACACAGAAACTGATGTGAAGTTAGAGTTATGTGAATCACTGAATATTATGAGTGAATCTCTTAATGACAAATATCTGGGTTTACCTGCATTAGTAGGAGCAGACAGAAGTGATTGTTTTTGCCACCTCATTGATAGAACTGTTCAGAGAGTTGGCAAATGGAAGTAGAAACTGCTAAGTATGGGTGGAAAGGAGGTTTTAATTAAATCCATCGCCCAAGCCATGCCAACATATGCGATGATGGTTTTCAAAATCCCGAAAAAAAATATGCAAAGGGATGACGGACGCTATATCGCATTTTTGGTGGGGTGATGACGATGAAAAGAGAAGGATTCATTGGCAAGCTTGGTGGAAATTATGTGTTCCGAAGGGTAAAGGAGGCGTGGGCTTTAGGGTTTTTCATAGCTTCAATTTAGCCATGCTTGCCAAGCAAGTCTGGAGACTGCTATGTGATCCAGACTCCCTATGTGCAAGGGTCTTGAGAGCAAAATATTACCCAGATGGTAAGCTGCTTCAAGCAAGGATGAGGAGTGGGAGTTTGTTTACATGGCAAAGCATATTAGCAGGCCTCGAATGTTTCAAACTTGGATATATTTGGCGAGTCGGAGATGGTACACAAATAAACATCTGGAACAATAACTAGATTCCAAGTAGCCACAGCTGACTCCTCGAGGTAATATTTTAGTCTCAACGGTGGATGAACTTATTAATCTGATTAATGGTTGATGGGATGAAGAGCTGATTAGATCCCTTCTCTGGTCTATGGATGTGCACCGTATCCTCCAAATTCCAATTGCCCCTGGGCGGGAGGATTTGATTGCGTGGCACTTCAATCGGAACGGCTTATTCTCAGTGAAGTCAGCCTATCATTGTCAATGGAGTCATAGCTTTGGAAACAATGTGCAGCATGTGGTGGCGAGTGGATCGGGGGCGACGCCTGTTTGGTGGCAGCTATGGAACCTAGCGCTACCTAGCAAAATCAAAATCTTTGTCTAGCGTGTACTTCATGGGTGTATCCCGTGCTTTGTTATTTTGGCAAACAAACATATCATGAATTTAGGAACATGCCCTATGTGTCAATCGGATGCTGAAGACATAAGGCATGCGTTGTTTGCTTGTTCTCAGGCTAGAGAGGTGTGGAGTGCACTTGGTATTTGGCAGCAAATTCAAGCGCTAATGGTAGA